GTTTGTTTGTTTGTTTTTTAATTATTATTTCCAAGTGGCCATTAACGAAGTTCTCCACGTCTCGCTCCGCCTTCGAGGAAGTTTTCAGATTCTTCTATTTACTTGTTTTATATGGGAAAAAAATATCAAATGTTCTTTGTATGAATTTCTTCTGTATTTTAACGAGGGGAGGGAGAGCTTTCCATAGAAACAGTCCTGGTTCTCCAATTTATTATTATTATTTTTTTTTTAATTATTATTTTTTTATTTCTGTTGTGAAGATGTCGGTGGCTTTCAAGTCAGTGTTTCTTTGGCGATGAAATGACGTTCTTTTAGTCCGAGAGGTTCCCCTTTGCCCTCCCACCTTCCCACCCCCCCAAAAAAAGACAAAAACCAGGCAAGTAGCAGAGCATGGACCCCCCTTTGTTTTCCCAGTGTCTATTATTGCCTCATTCAATAAATTGTTACAAATGTGTCTACCCCTGCGTCCGGCTCTCCTGTTTCGGGGTATTTGGGGGGGGTTTGGGTGTATTGTGCCCTCCCTCCCTACCTGAGGGGGGGATTTGAGGCTTGATCCCGCACCCCCAGCCCTCCCCACAGGCGACGTCGGTGCTGGAGAGGATGAGCTGGGTACGTCCAGGACCATTTTGGAGCTTAATTCTTCCTCTCTGCAATTTATCTCATTCCTCTTTACTTTTCCAGCAGCAACTTGGGGCCAGGAGGAAAACCATGGGGGTGCTGGAGCATCCCCCGGTGCTCCCACCCAGGGGCTGAGCTGCCTTTTGGGGTGAATTCCTTCATTTTTCAGCTGCAGCAGCCGCGGCCGAGCCCAGGCGCTGTCACCCCCGGGGTCCCCGCAAACGGGGGGCGCGTTATTCGGGGTGCAACCCCAAGGAGGAGCAGGGAAGAGCAGCGATGGGTTTCAAGCAGCTTTATTGGAACGCCGGCGCGGGACGGTTGCAGTCCTGGCTCCAGCGTGGTGAATCCTGCGGGCTTCTTGTAGCCTGGGGCGAGAAAAACAGCGGAGGAAGGCTGGAAGGATGGACAGACGGAAGGAAAGGAGGAACGTGGCTGCTTTACCGGAGCACCTATGGATGCTCATGGATATACCCAGCCGAGCTGGGACCACATCCCCGACGTGGCTTAGTGTCCTCGGACATGAAAGATGCTGCAGCTACTGGGAGAGTGACTGGGGGTCCGGGTACCGCTGGGGACCACAGGATGTCCCCAAAGGGGCCCCGGATCTGTCAGCACGCCCGCGGGGGGAAGCGGCTCAGCTCGGCAGACGCTGCCGCGAGGCTTTAATCTTTGCTAATCGGTCTTTAATAAGCAGGTTGAGGCCTCCCGCTGGGGTGGCTCGCGCTGGCCCCGAACACCAGCGAGATTCGCTTCCCACGTCCCGCCTGGGGACGGATCCTGTCCCCCTCCCCAGTCTGGGCACTATGGAGGGGGTCACCAAAGCTTTTGGGGGGGTCCCAGAGCACGAGCATGGGTTTGCTGCCTCTGTTCCCCCATTAGAGTGCTGCTCTGCCCGTGCTGGGCCCCAAATTGCGGGATTTCACCCCAAAAGCGCTGGTGGGTGCTGAGGATGAGCCCGGCTGCTGCAGCGGGGAAGGGGCAGGATGGGGAGGGGGGACG